CGGTGATCTATGTGTTCGATGAATTTGGAGACTGAGAGTTTTCAAAAGTATATTATTTCGGGGTTGCGGCCTATTTGAGGTGACTATTTTATTTAAAACTCGGTGGAGGCACTAGTTGCGTTAATTATTTGTAATAGCTATACACTATGAGTGCGCATATATATGAGGTTTGAGCCCATGTGCGGGCATTAGAGCAAGTATTCATACTCGGAAGAATGCTTAGGCTATAATATGCCTAGAGTTAACTGTTAAGTGTAAAGTTATAACGTTTCCCGTATTCGTACCTTTGTTGAGAACTATTTGGGCTATACTTGAGGTTACAAAGAAGATGATTCCCTAAATAAATGAGGTAGTTACTTATTTTGCATAAAATTATCGATATGAAGTATGATAGCAGACTTTGCACATGCTTACACTATGGCGTACTATTTATACCAGTCCAGGAGCATGAGAATCTTATTTTATTATCATATACAAGTGTACTTGTTTAATTGCTCGTGTATGATATACTAGGGCTGGAGGCATGTGACCATGCCGGGCGATTCATATTATTGGCATATGAGTTGTCCGTGCCATGTTTGGGAATTTTATTTCTATGATAATTTATCTGATTCATTAATTTCCTTCCTCTACAGTTATGCATATGCACCTACGGTTATCCTCTTCACGAAATTTGAGGAGTTAGTTGTAACATTGTGATTGTGGTGGTGCTTGTTAAACTTGCAATATGGTTCTCTTCCTTGAGACATCTCCCATATTTGGGTATACAGATTGCGCAGTGGTAGCTGGAGTTATATTGATGTGGTATGTTTGTGGGATAGTGGTGCTTAATAATAAAATGTCATTGTACCTAGAATGGGTACTATCATGCTTGATTATAGTATATCCGAGAGGATTATGGTTCTTGTTGGGGCGAGAGAGCTCCATGGCTAGTTGATCTGATGAGTGATTATGAGTTTTTGATTGTTTCTTTCATCATTGGCAGTGTACGAAAATTTTGGAATGAGGTTCTGTTGAATGCGGGGTTTTATACTAGTACTTGGTTGGTTTTGAGTAGTTATTGTGATCAGAAATGGTGATACAAGTATGCGAGTTGTGTAGTATGTTATGCGATTATATCTTGGATTATGGTTATGGCTGGATATGGCTTGTTCAGGCTAATATAGTGTGGAGATGCGAGATTCAGGTCTTGAAAAGAATTCTGGATGTTAGAAATTTGGATCCAAGGTTTTTGGGCTAAAGTTAAATTAATGATCTTCAATTGTGTTGCGTTGTCATATCTATGGAATAGGGTGGCGTGGGATCACCCCCGAGTACGTGCGTTGTAAGATAGAATAGCGATTTGATGGCTTGGAAATAATTCTTGGCACGTTCGAGGATGAACGTATGTTTAAATGGGGGAGAATGTAACGATCCGGTCGGTCATTTTGAGTATTACAACTCCGTTCCCCCATTTACTGCTCAATTTATGCTTTACAATAGTTTTAAGACTTACGGGGTTAGTTGGTTCAGGTCCGGAGGGAATTCGGAGTGAAATGAGACACTTAGTCTCATAATTAAAAATTTTAAGTTAGAAAAGTTGACCGAATGTGGACTTATGTGTAAACGACCTAGGATTTGAGTTTTGATGATTCCAATAGCTCCGTATGGTAATTTTGGACTTAGAAACATGACCGAAAAATTATTTGGAGGTCGGTAGAGGAATTAGGCTTGAAATGGCAAAAGTTAAATTATTAGAAAGTTTGATCGGGGTTGACTTTTTGATATCGGGGTCGAAATTCGATTCTAAAAATTTTCATAGGTCCGTTATGTTATTTATGACTTGTGTGCAAAATTTGAGGTCAATCGGACTTGATTTGATAGGTTCCGGCGTCGTTTGTGAAAACTTAAATTTCAAAGTTCATTAAGCTCGAATTGGGACATGATTCGTGGTTTTAGCGTTGTTTGATGTGATTTGAGATTTCGACTAAGTTCGTATGATGTTTTAGGACTTGTTGGTATATTTGGTTGAGGTCTCGAGGGGCTCGGGTGAGTTTCGAGGTGGTTTCGGACTATTTCTAGGCCATTCTTAGTTGCTGGTTTTTTGCCACAGAGGTATGCATCGCGATCGCGGACAAACGGTCACGATCGCGAAGAGCAATTTTGTTGTTTGGACACTGTGAATCGCGATCGCGGAAGCCTTTTCGCGATCGCATAGAGGAAAATCCTATTGCACTGACCTGACTTTTGAAGCTTATATCTCGTAATCTATAAGGGATTTGGAGATGATTCAAATATCAAATTTGTAGCTCTTTGTGTTTAGTTTTCAGAAAAGTAAACCATTTGTCATTTGGAGTTACGTACAAAATATTATGGTGGATATACTATAGGCTGTCTGGAAAGAGTTTTGAAATCTCTGTTGTACAGGGCTGACTTTGAAAGTTTATATCTCGCAATCTATAAGGAATTGGGAGATTATCAACAAATGAATATCATAGTCCTTGATGTCTAATTTTCAGAAAGTTAAAACAATTACAATTTGGAGTTTTGTACAATGAGTTATGACCATTGTACTAGAAGTTGTCTGGAAGAGCCGGGCACTTGTTCTTCGCGATCGCGAAAGGCAAAATTTGGGATGAGAAAAGTTGTGCTTCGCGATCGCGAAGCATTTTTCGCTACCGCGAATAGTAAATACTTAAGCAGTAGCTATATTTCAAGGTTTTAGCTATTTTTAACATATTTGGAGCTATGGAGCTCGGATTGAAGCGATTTTTGAGGTAACTTTTACCATATGGATTGGTGTAGGTGTTCTATATCCGAAAATGATTATACTTCATGATTCTATAATTATATTCATCATTTATTTAGGATTTAAATGGAAGAAATCAAGATTTTTGCAAAATCATCCAAAAACGAAAATATATGATTTGGAGGTCGAGTTGTTATCGGAATTTGATAAAATTGGTATGGTTGAACTCGTATCGGAATGGGTGTTTGGATTTTGTAAATTTTATCGGGTTCCGAGACGTGGGCTCTACGGGTGAGTTTTAAGCTAAATTTCGAATTTTTATGGAAAATTAGTATTTTCTTATGGAATTAATTCCAATAAATTTTATTGACTGAATCGAATTAATTGTGGCTAGATTCGAGGCGTTTGGAGGCTAATTCACAAGGCAAAGGCATAGCGGAGTAAAGAATTATGCGATTTAAGGTAAGTAACACTTCTAAACTTGGTTCTAAGGGTATGAATCCCCGAATTTGGTAAGATATAAATTATTTGGAGGTGACACACACGATAGGTGACGAGCATGTAGACGTGCACCATATAAATTGTGTCTTGAATAAATCCTGTGCAGTTGTAAAATTAATGAATCATGTTATTATCATAACATTCTCTACGTGTTAGAGAAATTGAGTTGAGTCTCCTATTAAAGATCATGTTTAGGCTACGTGCCAATATTTTGGGACCCATGGGATCGTGTTGCTGTTGAATTAATTGCTCAAAAAATATACATTTCACACTCAGGAATATTTGTCCATTATTAGGATATTTATGGATCGGGGCTACCCGTCTGCAGCATGTCAGAATGGCTTTATATATTATTATTATTATATGGATTGGGGCTGCCCGCTTGCAGCAGGCCTTATAGGCTTTACTATTTTATGGATCGGGGTTGCCCGCCTACAACAGGCCTTATAGGCTTTATTATTATACGGATCGGGACTACCCGTCTGCAGTAGGCCATATAGGCTTTATGTCACGCTTGGGCTGAAGGAGCCCCTCCAGAGTCTGTACACACCGCAGTGAGCGTAGATGATTATATATATTCGGGATGGATTTTCTAGGGCATGGACTTGCCTTACTTATTTATATTGTAATAATTTACCTAGACATAGATCTTGTCCGTATCATTTACATTTGGGGATAAATTACCCCAAGGGCTGGGTTGGCCTTATACGGTACTGAGTGACTGATTATTAGTCGATGTGTATTTATATACGGGTTGGAACATCCCTGGGCTGGATTGGTCATAAATAGTATCAAGTGACCGAATTATTAGTCACCAATATTTACTTGAGGTCTTTCTACTGAGATGTCGTATTTCTCATATCATGCAGTATTGATCTATTTGACTTGTACTTAGTTTAACTATTGAACTTGAAAGCATGCCTACATTTCTGTACCATTATTTATTCTGGACTATACCTGCGGAGCTCATCATTGCTTTCAGCCCAGAGGTTAGTCTTGTTACATATTGAGTTAATTGTACTCATACTACACTCTGCATCCCATGTGCAGATCCAGGTGCTCCCGGATACTGCGGCGTCTAGATTTTGAAGTTAATTCTGTTGGGGACTATCAAGGTAGTTACTTGACGTCTGCAGACTTGATTCCCTTCGTGTTTAATTATTGTACTATTCTATATTTTCAGACAGTGATTTTGTCAGTCAGACTTTGTATTCATATTAGATGCTCATGTACTTAGTGACACCGGGTTTTGGGAGTGTTATATTTGTATTTGTGAGATTTCTTCCGTTGAATTTAATTATTTTATTTTCAAATTTAAAAGATATAGTAGCTCATTAAGATTGTGGGCTTGCCTAAGATTGAGATAGGCACCATCACGACGGTTGAGATTTTGGGTCATGACAAAAGTAGTTAGAAAAGAAAGAAATAAAGAAAGAGAAAGGAAAAAAAAGGAAATAAATAAAATTGTCTAATGAAAAATGAATATTATTAAATAATAAATAAATAAAGATATCCAATTAGAACATGACACGTGTGTAATTTGAACTAAAAATTTATCTCAAATTGCCACAATGGACCACCGTTAAAACAGGGGTATTTTCATCAACCTTGCTAATGGTAGGGGCATCTTTGTTCGTAAAGTATAACGAAGGTTGAATGTGAACTATTTTTTAAAGTAAAGGGGTTTATTTAACCCTTTTCCCATTAATATATAGGTTCTTTCGCTCTTCACTCTTTACTTCTGAAGTGAGTTTGGAATGTAAAGGAAAAATAAACATAAACAATTTACAACTTTCATTCTACATGAAAATTAACACAACAAGAAAAATATCAAATTATGTGTGAGAATGTGCATGTATCTATGTAGCCAGAAATAGCAACTTGGAATTTAACCCCAAAAAAGATGCATTTGAAGGTGCACTGAGAAAACAAGAGAAATAATTAGAAACGATGATTACAATAATCAAGCACTAAAAAATCTCTTAATCCAATAATCCTCCACTCTGATTCAACTGAACTCACCTTAAATCACCAAAATTAAGAACATGAAAAACAAACAAAAAAATCATTTTTATTCATTAGTGTCACAATTAACCTATGCAGATCGAAACAGAGAACAGAGAAAAACAACAAAGGGAATAGATAAGAAAGGATCTCAATCATCTCAATTACACAAATTCTGTGAAAAAAATTAAAGAAATCCAATTACCAAAATAACAAAAGAAGAAGATTGTATCAAAGACAACTCAGAGTCACCTTTCACTTTTTTCTCGATCAAATCAAATTGGAAAAGTAAAAAAGAACCTAAAGAATTAAAAGACTCATAAAGCTTTTGGAATTGAAAAAGACTGAAGAGATGGATCACAAAGCTATTCTAGAATTGTGAAAAATATGAAAACATGCGCTTACCAACCTATCTATCTATGAACCTATGCAAAAAGTTCAGCAGCAACTATATAAAGAATCGAGCAGCACCAATAAATCGAACTTGCTGGGTAAGAAGAGAAGTTACCTGAGGAAGAAGACTATCACTGCTGGAAATTTTTATTGTGTCTGTGTAGATTTGTTATATTGTGTCTGCTTGATTTTATTTTCAACCGTCTTCCGTTTCATGTTCGATGAAGGGAATAGATTTACTTATTTTGGAGGGAATGGTTAATTTATGACCAAAACAATTTGAGGGAAAGCTTTTTTTCTTTTTTTTGGGTACGAAGGGAAAGTTAGTATAATAAAAATCTATTTTAATTAGTGATTTTTAGTGGCAATTTATTTTTATTGTCGGTAAATGGATATGTTTTACTTACTAATGGTCATGTGCGGCTAATATTTCAGCTTAAAGAATCTATTTGCAGCAATTGCCTTATTGCAGCTAAATATTGCCACCAAAGGCCTTTTTTATAGTAGTGTGTGCTAGATCCTCAGCATCCCTCGATGATGATCCATAACTCAGTCATCGCCCACTATGCACGTCTCGTGTCGGATGATCCTCAGCAATCGTCGATGGCTCTAGGGGATTAAGAAAATACTGATCCCACTACCGTCGCGTAATGGACATGCTCGTGATCAACAATGGAGCTGGCGGGGTCAACTGCGAAGTCCTTGGCGACAGTTAAAGGCTGAATGACGGCATATCATGAGGAGCATTATGTGGCTCAAGGTAGTTACCCTTCTGATCATCTCTAATATCCTCTACGGGTGCCTCAACACCACTTTGCTGGGGAACCCATCCTCGCCGACCACCACGACCTCATGATATTTCTCAAGATGATGTAGAAATCTCAAATTGACTAGGTTTCCCAAAGTGTTCGGGAACAGTAAACCACCAAACATCAGGAGCAGCATCAATCTCGTGTGCCATTCGATAACCTCCGGTGGTGAATCATCTGTAATCTCCGCATCTATCTCCTCCAGATGATGCCGGATGGGCGTCAAATGCAAACAACTGGCCCCACTCAATGCAGTCTCCTCCGCTGGCTGGAATCCGGTGAGCTGCTGCAATATATGCAGGTAATGCAATCCCATGTAGTCTCTGAAAGCATGCGGGTAAGCTATAGGTAATCCATCAACCGACAGCTCGAAAAAAACCTCCATGTCCTCAAGTGTGATGGTAGCCTCGTCGATGGGTAAATGAAACATGTGCATCTCCGGTTTCCACCGCTCTATCATAGCCTTGATCAATGCCCAGTCGAACTGCAACCAGCCGATCTCTATGATCCGGTAGAAACTCGTATCCTGAAGGCGTCTAACTATACTGTAATGACCCGACCAGTCATTTTGAGCTCTAGTGCATCATTCAGCAGTTTGAGGCCATGAGAAACTTTACTTCATGTGTTATAACTTGTACGTGTAGTCAGAATTGAGATTCACGGAATTCATAGTTGATTTGGAAAGAAAATTCTCATTTCGGAAGCTTTAAGTTGGAAGAATTGACTAAGTTTAGATTTTTGAGTAAACGGTCTCAGTATTGAGATTTGAAGGTTCCAACATGTTCGTATGATGACTTCGGACTTGGGCGTATGTTCGGATCGAGTTTTGGATGACCCGGGAGCGTTCCAGCGCCTATTGTGGAAGGTTACATTTTGGAAGAATTTTATAAATTTGGGTTGAAGTGCATTTCAATGTTATCAATGTCCGTTTGGGATTCTGAGTTTGGAATAGCTCCGTATGGTGATTCTGGAATTGGGAGCGCGTCCGAAAGTGGATTCGGAGGTCCGTAGGTCATTTTGTAGTCATTTGGCTAAAGCTAGAAATTTGAAGGTTTTTGAGAAGCTTGACCGGAAGTGCCCTTTTTGATATCGGGGTCGGAATCCAATTCTAAAAGTTGGAGTAGGTCTGTAATGTCAATTATGTCTTGTGTGCAAAATTTGAGGACAACCGGACGTGATTTGATAGGTTTCGGTATCGATTTTAGAAGTTGAATTTTCAAAGTTCATTAAGTTTGAATTGGGGTGCGATTCATGATTTTGATGTTGTTTGATGTGATTTGAGATCTCGAGCAAGTTTGCGTTATGTTATGGTACTGGTTAGTATAATTGGATGGGGCCTCGGGTGTGTTTCGGGGTGATTTTCAAATCATTTTGGGCTGTTTTGGAACTGCTGATTCTGGTGTCTGCACAGTTTACTTTTATGTTGGATCGGGTCTGTGATGACCCAAAATATCATCTTTAAATTTAATGATTAATTATGTAATCTAAGCACTGAGTGTGCAGTCCGTAAAAAATTTTCGAAAAGTTTTCAGGTGAAAAATGAATTAAAATGTGAATTAGAGCTTTAAAACTCAATTGAGTTGACTTTGGTCAATATTTTTAGCAAACAGACCCGGATCAGTATTTTGACAATTTTGGTAGGTCTGTATCGTGATTTGGGACTTAGGCGTATGCCCGGAATCAAATTTCGAGGTCCCTAGTCCGAGATATGAAATTTTGATGAAAAATTAAAAGTTTAAGTTTAAATAGTGATCAGATGTCAAATTATACGCAAATGATCCCGGAATAGAATTTTGATGATTCCAACAGCTCCGTATGGTGATTTTGGACTTAGGAGCATGATCGGAATTTTATTTGGAAGTCCGTAGTAGAATTAGGCTTGAAATGCCGAAAGTTGAATTTTTGGGAAGTTTGACCGAGGGGTTGACTTTTTGATATCGGGGTCGAAATCTGATTCTGAAAATTTTTATCACTCAGTTATGTCATTTATGACTTGTGTGCAAAATTTGAAGTCATTCCGAATTGATTTGATGTGTTTCGACACAAGATATAGAATTTAAAAGTTCAAAGTTCATTGATTTGGATTTGAGGTGCGATTCGTCGTTTTGATGTTGTTTGATGTAGTTTGAAGGCTCGACTAAGTTCGTATGGTATTTTGGGACATGTTGGAATAATTGGTTAAGGTCCCGAGGGTCTCGGGTGGATTTCGGAAGGCAAACGGAATGGATTTCGGACAAAGAGTGCTGGAAATTTCTGTTGCAAAAATTCTGTGCATGGAGCCAACTTTGGAAGCTTATATCTCGCAATTCATAAGGAATCAGAAAATGTACAAAACATGAAAGCTGTAGTCGTATGATTATAGGTTCCAGAAAGTTAAACTATGCATTATTTGGACATTTGTACAGAAAGTTATGATGGATTGAATGAAGGCTGGTAGAGCAGTTTCGCCAGAAATTCTGATGCATGCAGCCGACTTTCTAGTTTCCAGAAAGTTAAATCATTTATCATTTGGATATTTGTACATAAAGTTATGATCAATTGAAGTAAGACTGGTAGAGCTGTTTCTGGT